TCACCTCGAGTTTACGCAGCTCTATCGCGACCAGATTCTCTGAAGACGCTACGACTGTGAAAGTTGGGTTTCGCGATCATTGCTTCAGCACCGTGTCTGCCTTCCCATTTAGTTAATAATTTTACATCAACGCGATCGCGCACATTCTCCATGGTTTTACCAAATACCGCGTTATTCATAAGTTTATATAAATTTTTCTCAAAATCGTTTTTGCCAAAGATCTAAATTTTGTATTTAATTCTATGTAATCGCGAAGCCATGGAGATTGCGTAAATTGCAGTATATGGTGAATATTTGCGATACGGAGGCCGTGACGAGTACACTGCTGCAGGTTGCGATAATGAATCACGTAACGCTGCTTATCGCATAACGTCGCGAGGAGCTTCTCATCGCGCTTGCTGGGCGGTTTCTCTCGCGTTGGACAGAACGGTAGGTCAGTGTGCGCGTCGTGGAGATGTTGCGGATATTCCAAGTCTACTTCGAGAATATAGCCCGTGAATCTAGCGCGATGGTCGAAAAGTCGAAATTTTGCACGTCGTCGACCCATCGAAAGTCAGCGTATGGCAATGGTTGACACATTGCCCAGCCATAGAGGTTGTTGACGTCATAGTACATCAAATACGATGATGGTTTCGATGAATCGTACGACGGCATGTATTTGTTGTTGGCTCGCGCGTACCTGTTTGAGCACTGGCTCAGACCATCCGCGTATACCGCTCTCGACAAACATGACCATGTCAATGTCTGTAAGCAATTCAAATTTTACACCTGTATGCTTCAACATGGCATCCCATGTGAAGCCAGGCAACGTGTAATAGTATGCGGGGTCAAGCCCGTAACTCGCTATGCAGCTGTTGCGGAAATTTTCAAAGACGTCGGCCAACAACAATACATCCGTTTTTAGATACAGGTCGCTATATTCATCGAGCGTTTGGATGGAGAACCGCTGCCACACGTTGACAGCGTGCGCGTAATCGCTCTCGGATACCGTGCCGTCTGTCAATGAACTATAGAATGACTCGCGAGGTGGCAAACACGATTCATTCAATTTTTCACTGCAATCAATATACTCGTACGGAAAGATACCTTTTCGAGTTAAAAGATTAAAATTTCCTTCCGTTAAATGGGAAAATTCGCGTCGCAGTACCCGCAGCTTATCTTTGCTGAGAAAAGATGATAATTTGTCTAAAGTAGAAGCGAGAAATCTATATGAATCTATGAAACGTAATTGTATACAATTTTTTTTATCATCAACGTGTTTAGTAAAAGAGATATATTTTTCTTTAGTTATCGGTAAGAGATCAACGTGTCCTTCATAGGCAGTAGCAATTTCCTTTATAATGAAATGAGCGTCGTAACCGGTTAAATTATGAAAGACTACGGGTATGCATCGCGAATCTTTATAATTTAAATTACAATTTGAGTGCGCGGGACCTCTGTATCGCCCGGTGAGATGGCAGTGATCGCGTGCTCGCGTATCGTCTTTCGCGAACGGTTTCTCGCATACATGACAGTGTGTGGCGCTATTGAATTTTCGCCAGTCATCTCATGTGAAATCCATGGGAACATTGGTCGAAATTACAGATTGCACACTATGTGCTAAATTTTTCAATTCATCCGCGAACCACGATATGCAGTTATTATCGCGGCGAAAACGTTAGCCTGATAGTGAATCGTCATAAGAACAGTACACGTAATACCCGATACTGAAGACGTTGTGATGTTGGTACGTGTACGTGGATGATGCTGGTTTTTATTCATCTTTTCCAGTGCGCACTCCAAGTCTGCATAGACCACAAACGAGATACGCTCCTTTCTGCAATGGTTCTTAAACTCGAGCCACTTGTCGTCCTCGCTCGGTAGCCTTATTGCACAATCGTTGAGTTTTCCGCAGTCGACGCTGTGGAGCTCCAATTTAGCGCTCGAGCTAAAATAGTGGAGACATCTGGAGAAAAAAAATTTGTTTTTTATTCTTTTATTATTATTATTATTATTATTATTATTATTATTATTATTATCATTATCATTATTATTATTATACATACCTATCGCAGAAGTATTTCTTATGCTCCTTTTTGCTGATTTGCGAGCTTACTAGACGTGACAGGTCTTTAATCAGCGCGAAATGTCCCGCGATATCATCCTCCACGTACAAGAAGTTTACATGCTTGCTCCTCTTTTGATCAGCGAGTCGTATCGGTATGATCCCCTCCTCGATGGCGTAAACGTTGATGGAAATGTCGTTGAGATTTTCAAATTTTTTAATTTTTGACTCAACGTAATCGGGAACTCAATACCCGTGAGATTTAGTACCGATGAGTAGTGCGGATATGATGATGTTCGATATGTATGACTTTTAGCGGGATGAAGAGCGGCGACCACCGATCAGGCGAAACAAGCATTGTCTTTGGATTGCACGTTGATCACCGCTCTCTTTGATATAATTTCCTCCGGAAGTTTGATGTGACATCCCTCGCGCAGAGGATTTAGTTTATACGCGTTCACTGTTAAATTTAGTATACGCGATAACGCCCATCCACTATCGCGTTCTTGAAACTCTTCGAGCAATGCCAGGATTGGCTCGACGACGCGTGACACATACCACTCGCGCTGATCGGTGCATCGATATATTTCATAGCTCCTGGTTGCGATGCTCTTGTTCGCGCGTTTGTCACCAGCTACGAATTCACCATTAAATACAGTATTTATCTTTATAGAGTCATATCTCTGTAAAACACAGTGCACACGCTCAAGCACAATTTCACTCGCGTCTTCGAGGAATCGACAAGGGTCGATGTGATTAGAGTTTATCACCGCGCCCGTTAGAATACGGCTTTCGGACGCCGTTTCGATCTCGCGCCATCAGAGTCCATCTGATTGTCTATTACCGATCGATAATCGCGGTCGTTTGATCCGACTCTGTTCTTCCAAAGATTCGATGAATTCGTCGCATCGCTGTTCCCACGCGACGTACTCTTCTCTGGTACTAAGCAGGGTAGCTTGCTTTATCAAATCTCGCTCCATGTCGCTAGATTGACTAATGACACGATGCGTCTAAATCTTTACGTTTTATATCAATCTATTTGGCAACGTCGCATCTCTTAACTATTGAATGTGCATTTGGCAACGTTGCATTTGTATCAAATTACATTACTGCTCTCATCACTGGACGTGTCTTTTGCAAAAAATCTTAAACAGAACTTGCGAACGTTGCATTTTTTAAATATCGAATTACCCTAATGATTTCATCACCGCATGTGTTTAAAAAATCTGTATTGTGCAAAATTCTTTCTTAGCAACTGCATATTAGCAAACGTTGCATTTTTAAAAATATTGAATTGCATTAATGACTTCATCACCGTACGTGTCTTTTGCAAAAATGTTGCAGCTGCATAAGTGCAAACGTTGCATTTTTTAAATATATATAAATGTCGATGAAAATATTTTCATCAGTCTGCGCAAAGATGTCTAACCATCGTTGTTCATCGCTTCCGCATTTACTTCGCAATCGTGAACTCGGTTACCGTAACGTGCTGACGCGCAATAGTACATGGTGTCCGAGACATGGGGAATTGCAAAAGGGTTTAATTCAGAAAACTTTTGAGTGTAATAGAGTATTTGAAACAAAAGCGCGGATTAATACATGTTGTAACACATTGAGCCGTTATTTATATGAATACCCGGAAACGCTTTGCGTAAGATTTATGATAGAAATTCTAATATCGAATGCGAATTAATAATGTACGCTTTAGGTGATATTGTACACCATGCGTTACATGAATAATAATAAATGTGTATACATATATGTGTGAAAAAAAATAGATAAACACATGTTAAAACTCTATATCACAGTATTCTTATTTATTCACCTTCCTTGCATTCTTCCTTCGCGCAGTATCGCGTTACATCGCGCCAGCGTTATCGTGTGCAACAGCATTACCGCGTGCGGTATCCGTATTAAGCATATACGCGCTCTTTAAAATAATTAAATGAAACGAAACAATTATATTATTAGTTAGCAAATATATAAAAGAAATAATTATATTATTTATTGCTATATAAAATATTTAAAAGTAATAAATCTAATTATTGCTTTAAACAAAAGTAAAAGAAAAAACTTTGAGATGGAAGCTGCATAAGAAGAAGAAGATGACATGAGAGAAACGGCGAGTATACATGGTAAGTATACACGGTAAGTACAGCGCGGCGGCGGCGGCGGCCCGCGCGCGCGATGGCAGCTGCGGTGGGGACCGTACCGCGCCCGGAGGGACCGCGCCCGACGGACCTCGCGGCGAGGGAGGACCGCGCGCGTTAGCTTACCGCGTTCGGAGGACCCTGGCGGCCATTGACTCCGCGGCGATCACCACAATTCTCACCCTCGCGAATTTCCCGCGACGTCAGCACCTGTGACGTCATTTTCCCCCCCGCCATCCCTCTGCGCCGTCAGCCTCCCCCTTCCATGACGTCGCACCCCTCTCACCCTGTGACGTCATCACCCTCCCCTGCCGTGATGTCATACCCCTCGCCTGCATCCGTGATGCCATCCCCTCCCCTGCCGTGACGTCATTCCCCTCTCCTGCCGTGACGTCATACCCCTTCCCTCCCGTGACGTCATACCCCTCTCGCCTTGTGACGTCATCCCTTCCCGTGACGTCATACTCCCTCGCCCGCAACCGTGACGTCATCCCCCTCCCCTGCCGTGACGTAGACCCCCCCGCGCCTCGGGTTCCCCTCGCCCCTCACTCCCCCTCAGAGGACCATGGCTTTGAATCGGCCTATATACTCTACGAGAGAGGGGGGAGGGGAGGGTGGGGGAGGGAGAGGGGAAAGGGAAGGGGGAGGGGGAGGAGGATGAAGAGGGAGAGAGAAAGGGGGGAGAGAGTAAGAACGGACTAGAGAAGTGAAAAGTGGGAAAGATCAGAGCGTGCGCCGATAGGAGCGGGGGTAGAGGATCGAGAGCGCGAGTGTGCACGAAGGTGGGGTGGCACGGGTAGCGGGGTATGAGTGAGAGCCGGGAGATAGAGAAGGTAGACACCGTCCTAGGGACGGCAGAGTCGAACAGCAAGCGGGGTCAAGCAGAAGAAGCGAGAGTAGGGAAGAGAGGGAGACCATCAAACGCCGAAAAGTTGGGAAGGGGGAGAAATAGTAGTATAGAGAGTACATCGAGTATTTCGTCGTGGATTTGGAGGAGAGGAAGAGAGCAGCAAGATAGTGACAGCGAGAGTGAAGAAAAGGACGGGAAACGGAGGAAGATGGCCGAAATAGCAGCAAATACCGAAAATGCGCAAATAATAGAAATGGAAAGGATTGAAAAATTATTGGAAGAGATGGGAGAGAGTCAAGAAAGATCTAAGAAAGAAATTATTAAGAAAATAGAGGATAGTAATAGAGTTTTAGAAAAGAAGGTAATGACCGAGTTTAAGAAAGAGATGGAAAAAATGAGAGAAGAAAATATGAAAGTGATAGAAGGATTGAAGAAAGGAAATGTTGAATTAAGAAGAGAGGTGACGGAGTTAAAAAAGAGAGAAGAGGAAAGAGAAAGAAGAGAAAGGAAGAAGAATATTATAATTAAGGGGGAACAAGTAGAGGGAGGATCAGCGAGGCAGGTAGCAGAAAATCTGTGCAATGAAATATGTGGAGAAGAAGTAAAAGTGGAAGGCGCAATGTATATTGGCAAAGAAGAAAAATTTATTTCAGTGAAACTAGAAAACTTCGAGGAAAAGATAAAGATTATGAAAAACAAGTATAAGCTAAGAGGGAGGAAAATATATGTTGATTACGATATGACAAGAAAAGAGAGAAAGATACAGAAGAAGGTAAGAGAATGGGCATATCAAGAGAAGAAAAAAGGAAGGATGGTGAAAGTAGGGTACGGGAAAGCGGAGATAGGAGAAATAAAGTATATATGGAATTATGAGAGGGATAGAATGGAAATTGGAGGGGATTTTGCGGGAGCTGCGAGGATGGAGAACAAGTCGAAGAGAAAAATGAAGGGGAGGATGGAGAACGAGGAAGAGAACGTCGAGGTGAGAACGAGAAGGACAGAGATAGTAAAGCAGAGAAGAAAGAAGAGATACTTAGAGATAGATGTAGTAATAATAGCAGCAATGGTGAAAGGAAAGGTGTGAATGAGAGTAGAGAAGTGTGGGAGAGTACGAGAGGTAGGGAAGAGGGCATAAGGAGGGGATGAAGAGTGAATGGAGAGAAGGAGAGTGAATGTGAAAGAATAAGTGAGAATGAAGGGTGTACGAATGAAAGAAAAGGGGAGAAAAAAGAGAGAGAAAGTAAAAAGAGGGATAGAATAGAAAAGGGGGTGGGTAAAAGGGCGGGAAAGACAAAAATGGCGGGAGAGAGGAGGGAACGGGTGAGGAGAATTTTTTGGAATGTGGCGGGTTTGAAGAAAAAGGAGACAGACTTTTGGGAGTTCATAGGAAATTTTGAAATAATAGGGTTGATAGAGACGTGGATAGATGAAAAAGAGTGGGGGAAGTTAAAGGAAAAAATGCCAAAGGAATGGAAGTGGAAGTGACAGCCAGCAGATAGGGATAAGAGAAGAGGTAAAGCGAAGGGGGGGATAATTACGAGAATAAGGAAAGAGATAGAGGAAAATAAGGAAGAGCTTGAAAATAGGGAGGGGATACAAGAAAGAAAGATCATATTGGATGGGGAAAAGTGGAGAGTGGTGAAGGTGTATAATAGAGAAGGAAGAAAGAAGGGCTTAGAGGATGTGCAGGAAGTAATAAAGGAAGAGGAAGGGGGGAAGATGGTGATGGTAGGAGATTTCAATGCAAGGATAGGAGAAGAAGGGGGAGTAAGAACTTTAAGTGGAGAGGAGAAAAGGCCGGAGAAGGGGAAAAGAGTATCAAAAGATAAGGTAATAAACAAACAGGGTAAAGAGTTGCTCAGAGTGATAGAAGAGAGGGGGTGATGATTTTAAATGGGGAAAAAGTAGGAGATGAAGGGGGGGAATGGATCTATGAAAAAACGGGGGGGAGATCGATGATAGACTACGGAATTGTAAATTGGGAGGCATGGGAGAGGATAGATAGGTTTGAAATAGGATGTAGGATAGAGTCAGATCATCAGCCGATCATAATCGATTTTGGAGGTAGGTACGCGAGAAAAGAGGAAGTAACAGAAGAGGTAGGAAGGATATAAGATTGGACAGAAGAAGGTATTAACATATATAAAGAAAAAATAGAGAAAATAGAATGGAAAGGGGAGGACGTGCAAGAAGGATGGGAAGAATTAGAATCGGAAATAAACTCAGCAG